AACAAGTGCAAATCAGAACAGCAAATGTCCAGTAGATTTTTAATGATATCATATGTCTTCTTGCGTCAAAATCAAAAGATATTTTGAAATGCCAAACTGGAAGTCGTGAATGTTAACGATATTACTCAAAAAGTTCATAACAGCTAGCAAAGCTATGCTGATGCTTACCTCAGAAAGGTTTAGTCGTAGAAAAGATACAGAAGGCAAAAGAAGCTTGTAATCGGATATCTGTATTCATTTAGGTTACTGATATGCGTATGTTACTATTCGGTTTATCACTTTCTCAAACGCCTTTTGATATATCACATGATGGTTTTGCGACTACTGATCTCATTGAATTCCCCTCTGTTCTTGTTCTGCGCAAAATAACCAAGATGAAATGTTTACAGTCTTATTCAAATAAAGGCATCTGTCAAAAATCGCGGAAATTTGCTAGCTTTAGTACTATGTTGTGGGAGAGCTAAAAGTGCTCTGGCAACACGCACTCTGACGCGTCATTCGAGGAAAAGCGTTTCTGTCATGGCACTCTACTAAAGTTAACAAGTAGCACTAATTATGATCATATATTAAGACGCAATGGTTTATGAATGCAAACCGATACCTTATGAAGTTCTTACTGCATCACATTAATCGAGCTTTCAAAGGCTTCAGGATAAAGAAATGACCTACGTTCAGTTAACAACTACGACGAACATCAGGACTCTCGTTGTTTCTGAAAAATGGCCTTTTATACTGCCATGAAGGGAAGTAAAAGTAAAGTAGAATCTCACCGCTAACTAATGATCGCTATGAATAAAACTTACAAACACACTAAAGCTGGTTGCGTTGCTACCTTCCACATTCAGCGTAAGTTGCCGGGGAAGCAAATATCAACATTGCAAAATACTCTATACAGTCGATTGTTCGCATACCGTATGTTGGCTCCCCGGGTGTATCGGCAGGCAAAATCTAACAAAGTCTAACGAGTAATTAATGCACTTTGCTATCTTCAACTGGAATGAATTGCATCTGCAACCCCTTATAGTAAAAATCACCCAGTATCGTCCAAAACCGGCGGATTTACCCAGAACCCATTATTATTCATTCATATGCTTTATGTTTTTCTATACGTCTAGGATAGAATTTGCGTCCGTTAAGAAGTTTGTAGCCCATCATGAAGATCTTAACTTTGTCATTACGAAAGTGTGAACTACCAAATCAATGTCGAAATAAAAACCGTCAGGCGGTATTTCTGAGTCGTAAAAATGCGATTTGTGATATCAGTAGTGGCAGGTTTTTTATGCGTAGTGACCAAACCGAAACCAGCGGAAGAAAACTCAGGCCACAGTGTCTACCGGTCTGGGGTAAATGATCACTGAACAACCAGCACTGTCCAGAGGTGTCTCCTCGCCTAGTGGTAACTGCACTCGTTTCAGAATAAACCACAGAAATTCGAGCATAGGGAATTGTCAACCTTGAAAGATCTGATTAATCCAACAAGTCAAAATGTCGACGTAGACGCTAACGCGTGATAGTACCGCAGGAAAGCAGATGAGGTCTGACTACGCTTGACGGCCGAAACGCCATGGATGTGGACTTCGCGTGTTTAGTTTCAACAGATGGACATAGTAGGCTGTCAGCTTCTCTGGTGTTTTTCAATTTATTTTAGTTTATTTGGTAAGGATAATAGGCAAGCCCTTTGCAAACCCTATTGATTACATGACAGCTCGTCAGATAAAACTGTACACGAACAATGCAAATTGTCGCTATTAAAACAGTACTTGATTCATTTGAGTAGCATTGTTTAAGGGATAAACAATTCCCGGTGATCGCGAGTATTTAGCTCCGGTTCAGACTGCAGAGGGAAAGGAAGGCACACAAACAATCATCCAAGCGTTTATTGGAGATTTGCAAGGACTTCGGCTCCACGACTGATTGAGGGAGATCGTTACATTTCTCCAGTACCCTTTGTGTTAAAAATTCATATCGAAGATTCAGTCTGGACATTTTTGTGCGTAGCTTCATCGCGTGACCACGACGATTGGGTAAAAGGTTCCACCGAAACATGTCCTCAAAGCAAAGTCCATGCCCATAATATTGTACTTATTTTTTGACTTGTCTGACGAAACCGGGTTTTTTTTCTATTAAAGGCAAAAGTACCACATAGGCGCAGAAAGCATTTATGCAGGAGTGGTAAATAGGCTAGAGAGGTGTTTGCAGAATGATATTACCGACAAAGACAAGGGAGACTGGAATGGCCATTTCTGGCTTATTAGCCGTCGTCAGCCAGTCATACCCAACCCCGAAGTGTGGAACACCCGAGGCTCGAACTCGCGACCTGTTAGTTGGAAGTCCACGCCTCTAACAACTGGGCCACGAGCCCGTTTCCCTGTCAGTTTCGATCGGGAATATACAATGGTAGGGGGCGCTCACCGATCGTTCTTACGGAACTCACTCGTTCCGTTGTGCCTTACGGGCTCTCACTCTCTCGCTGGTGTCACCACCAGTGTGGGTTTTCTGGTGCCCAAACGAAATCTCACTCAGACGCCGGAATCCTTGTGTGACTGAAATATCTTGGGACTTTTCGATGACTCGGTGATTAATATCTAGAGAACGAGCCATCAGATAGAGAGGTAAACCTCACTGCAACCTGATCAAACATGGCTGGGATGGAAGGAGAGCGTATCACGTTGATAGTGCACGGGGTTCTAGGATATCCGGCGGGGACAATCCCGGAGAAAGACGTCGTGGATAGTGTGGACACGACGAAAGGTTTAGTGGTCCGTAATGTCTGAATTTGGCCAGCCGCAGTCCTAGCCTTAGAAGCTCACATCTGAGTGACTTTGAAGACAGCTGCTTCAGCTTTACGATAGTTATCCAGGCAAGAACCTGAAAGAACCGCCGGCCGTGGCGACTCGGTGGTGTTAGCTGCGGACAGCTATCTGCTCGATCGCCAACATCGCGACCGGTTTGACGTCAACGGCGCCGCCATTAGTCAGCTGCACAAAGCCTACGTGAACCATCGGACCGCCGCAAACAGGGAGGCTTTCTTTCGCCAACGTCGCATCGCGCAGCAACGACTGAGGGAAAAGCAGGACTCATGGATGACTCATGGAAGGCAGAGGAAGTCCAAGAGTATGCTGACCACACTTAAATCAAGAGCTTCTTTGCATCAGTCAAGGCGATATTCGGCCCCCCAAATGGAGGGACAGCGCAGGCGAAGGGCACGCCAGTGGGCTTGCCCATTCCGGGACTCATAGCTAAGTCGGTCTTGCAACGGTTGGAGTCGCTGGTCTTGCGACACTTTAGACCGAAATTCTGGGCTCGGTATGTGAATGCTATCTTCGTCGTCATCGAACGGGACCTGGTGCTGGAATTCAGAGAACATCTCGACGCCGTCATCTCGGACATCCAATTCACGATGGAGGTGGAAGAAAATAACCAGCGAGCCCTCCTCGGAAGCCGTCAGCCGCCTCCTGGTACCACTCGGATTTAAGGTTGCACAGAGATCTGTGACAACAAGCAGGCGCCATGTCATGAGGCCGAAAGACCCGCTGCCGCGGCAAGAAATGCCTGGAGTCATTTACCGAATCTGGTGCATTTGCACACAAAGCAGCTACATCAGAGAAACTGGGAGACTACTCTGAATGCAGATATCCACGCATACAGCAGCAGAGAGAAGCAATGACACTAATTCTCATATAGCGGCTCATTCAATGGGACCCGACCAGGCGTTAAAGTTTGATGAAACAATGGCGTGGGCCGCGAAATGCTTGCGTCATGGTTCTGCTGTCTGAGAACAAGGTTGCAGAATGGCGAGACGGATCTTGTGATCTACAACAACCAGATAGTGCAACGCCCTCCCCTAATCCGTTGGACCGAACCGATCCGGATGAGGGCACAGTAGCTTCCTTAAATGGGATCACAAGCGGCATTATAATCAAACGCCCCGAAACTCTGAAACTAACTTTTTTACACCAACGTGCAGAGTATATTGCCCAAATTAGACGAACTGAAGATCCACATCTGTGACCTTTCCCCTGACATTGCCTCTTTGACAGAAACCTGGCTGTCTGAAAACGTGGATGACCGCGAATTAATGGTACCAGGATTTCAGTTGTTTCGAAGAGACAGGAGAGAGCGTCAGGGAGGAGGAGTCGTCACGTACGTAAAACACGGCCTGCTTGTGTCAGAAAAAACAGAACAGTTTGCATGCAGCGCCGAGACTATCTGGCTCACTATAAGGGTACCAGGATCACATAACCTTGAAGTTCTGACCGTCTATCGACCACCGAGGAGTGATCCCGAGGCTGACGCTCGTCTGTTAGAGGAGCTAGGACGATTTGCTCTCCAAGCCTGACGTCCTAATCATGGGCGACTTCAATGCACCGCTCATTGATTGGAGTTCACTATACGCGCGCGGCCCAGAACTAGCTTTCGACCGACGCTTCTTGGACATGGCACTCAGGTCATTTCTCACACAGCACGTCCTATTTCCAACGAGGGTCCGTGAGGGGCAGCAGTCAAACTGCTTGGACCTGGTGCTCACGAAATCGATGGACAGCATAGATGAGGTACAATGTCTGCCTCCCTTAGGTCGAAGCGATCACGTTGTACTTCAATGGGACTATTCAATCTTTTCCGTGCCTGAACAGCCCACCAAAATTGGAAGAAATATTTGGCGTGGGGACTTCGATCAAATGAAGGCCGAAATCAACAATACGGACTGGGAATCAGCGTTTTCCGGAAATATAGAGGAGGATTGGAAATGGTTCAGTGGATTATTGCATGTTCTCCTGACAAACCTCTGCCCGCTTTCACGGAAGGGGCTAAACAATCGACCCCGGTGGCTGACCCAGGCGTTAAAAAAGGAAATAAATAAAAAACGGTGATTGTGGCAGAAATTTCTTACTGATGGGACCCCTGTATCCATAAACGCATACAAAATACAGAGGAACTTAGTCAAGCGACTTACCCTCAGGACACGGCAACATTTTGAAAAAGACCTATTGAATCGTGCTATGGAAAATCCAAAATTATTCTACAGCTACATAAGAAGCAGCACACGAAACAGAGATCCAATCCCCCTCCTGAAGACAAGCGGAGACGTAGAGATTAGTGAGGATGGAGAAAAAGCTGAGCACTTTTCACAATTTTTCAAATCCATCTTTACTATTGAAAGTCCATTTACTCTTCCCGACTACGAATTCGATGAGGGTCCAAAAATTGAGTCTGTATCTTTTGATGAAGCGACGGTTCGCAAAGAGCTAATGACGCTTAATGTGTCGAAATCACCAGGTCCAGACGACATACCGCCTAAGTTACTGAAGGAGCTCGCTGCCGAACTAGCCAAACCATTGTCCATGCTTTTCCAAGCCTCGTTCGAAGCCGGCTGCTTGCCCGCCGACTGGAAATCTGCGCGGATCACACCACTGCATAAAGGAGGCAGCAAGGCCTCTGCAAACAATTATAGGCCAATTAGCCTCACCTCCATCTGCTGCAAACTCATGGAGAAAATAATCAAGCGAGAGCTGATGCGCTTCCTAGAGCAGCATAATCTATTATCTGATGCGCAACATGGGTTTCGTAGTGGCAGGTCTTGCGTGACTAACTTGCTCAACTGTTTGGAACGTTGGACTCGGTCAGTTGATGAAGGCAATGCGCTGCATGTAGTCTATATCGACTTTAAAAAGGCATTTGATAGTGTCCCACATCAGCGACTCCTGCACAAACTGAGCCGAACAGGCATTAGGGGTAACCTCTTAAAATGGATTCAAAGCTTCCTGTTAGACCGTTGTCAAACTGTCCATGTCGGTGGCCAGAAGTCGACGGAGGTTGCCGTTGAAAGCGGTGTTCCCCAAGGCTCAGTTCTTGGTCCTACTTTGTTCATCATTTACGTCAACGATTGCGTGAGTGAACTGGATTGTGGTGTCGCCATGTTTGCGGATGACATTAAGCTCTGGAGCGTCATTCGAACTGCAGATGACGAGGAGCATCTGCAGGCGAACCTAAACCGACTCCAACAGTGGTCAAAGGCCTGGCTTCTGCAGTTCAACGAGAAAAAGTGCAATATTCTACGAGTCGGCAGAGCTCGCTCTCCGAACCATATGGCCTACTGCCTAAATGGTATACGACTGCAAGAAGTGGACTCGCAGAAGGACTTAGGAGTATGGATTACGACCTCGCTCAAACCCTCGCTGGACTGCACGAAGATAGCCAAGTCTGCAATGTCAGTCCTCTACCTTGTCAAGCGGGCTTTCTCTGCCTTTGATGAAGACTGCTTCGCTAAAGTCTTTCGAACGTTTGTGCGTCCGGAGCTAGAATTTGCTATCCAAGCTTAGAGACCCTGGACCGCGAAGGACCTTAGCATCCTTGAAAAGGTTCAAAGGCGTGCAACGAAACTTGTGGAAGTACAGGGTTCACTACCATATGCAACGCGGTTAGCTAACCTTGATCTTTTTCCCTTGAGTTACAGGCAGTTACGGGGTGACCTGATACAAGCCTTCCGTATTATACGCGGTCAGGACTGCAGCCTCGTACCGGAGGACTTCTTCGAGTTAGCAACCATCACAAATCTACGAGGCCATCCATTCAAACTACGTGTGACAGGGGCCAGACTGGACACACGAAAGTTCTTCTTCTCCAACAGAGTGCTAGAAGCCTGGAATGTCCTGCCTGTGGATGTCGTTATGTCTACTTCCGTCGAGGTCTTTAAGAGGAAGCTGGATTTGTGTAGCAGTGTCCACTAAACTACCACCCCGATCTCTGTAAGCTCGACAAATTCCGTTATTATAATACTACGTGCTATATTTCAGTAACATTTTAAATTGAATGTATTATTGTGCCAACCCATCGCCTACGCTTACTGATATGGACATATGCCAATTTTGTCACCCGATATATTATTTATTTCGCTGCACTCGAAACGACAGCTCTACAACTGCTCGTACCACTAAAATTCGAGACAGTTTGTTTGTCTGTACAGACCTGACGCTTTTCCGATTATTTGTTCCTTTATGATACCTTTTCGAGTTTTTGAGATTTTGCAGTTGTTTGTAAACAAATAGGGAGTTCAAAGGTGAAGACCTACATTTCCCTCAATAAACTGAACTGAACTGAACAAGTGCAATGGCCTTCCGCTTCCATACTCTGTACTGCGAGTTTGTCTGGTCAAAATTACTAGCCACGTGGGGAGGGTGTGGGGGAGCAGTACTCACTGTGGTAGCGGGTAAAATTGCCGAGTTATCATCAACGGTGGTGAAATTATGGCAATTAACGACTCGGGTTCGGACCAACAAGCAGTCATCACACCAGCTACGAACCCCGGAAATGAACACATGTGCTGCGAGACATAATATGCGAGTGGTTGCCACGCAACCGCGCCCTACAAATGCTACTCACCTTATGCCCCTGTTACCCCTTTTACACCATTGTGTCTGGTGATGGGTTCAAGTGGGAATCCAAAACGACAGGCCAACGAACATTTTGTTCTGGAAATCGCATCTACCTCTTCTGGATGGTTTCCTAAAACTCGGCTTCCAGGTCCTATCAGCGATAATCGTGATGATGATGACTACGACGACGCCGTTGGTGATGATGATGATGATGATGACGATGATGATGATGATGATGATGACGACGATGATGATGATGAGGAGGAGGAGGAGGAGGAGGAGGAGAAGAAGAAGAAGAAGGAGGAGAAGGAGGAGAAGGAGGATGGTGGTGGTGGTGGTGGTGGTGGTGGTGGTGGTGGTGGTGGTGGTGGTGGTGACCTCAGAACGCTTGGCTATGACATATCTTTACTGTCCACTGATTGCGCATTTGCATTCGCTCTGCTCAAATTCGACTATTTAATGCGGACGCCAGAGTTATCGTTTGAAAATGAAATTAACATCCTAATTGCGTTGTGGATATTTGGCCCCTGAATATACTCATAAATATATCGAGTGTATGCATTTCTTTATGCCGATTATTAAAGACTTATGTTAGAATTTCCAGTATATGTTTGAGGTGATATGTTTGGCGTTCTAAGTAGCAATGTTTCATAAACTGAAAGCATTTGCTGTTCAAGTCAGTTGTGGGGGGTTAGAGACCACAGCCACCCGCGAATATGTGAAATCCACAAATGCACGAGACTCCTTTACGAACCCTCACGAACGCCTATTTTGATATGTTTATTGCTTTTATATTATTTCAAAGTAAACGGACGCCTCGTCCTCTTCTTCAGGCTCTTTGATTATAAATTGCAACTTCTCAGACACTTCCTGAGGAGTTTGGGAGGTTTTGGAGTTATTTTCTCATGCTTCCGTGAAATATGGTGATGGGCGGTTTTAGTTGCTGCGCGTAACATATCTGGTACACTTTTGCAGCTGCAACAGTTCAAAACGTGAGCGTCGTCGGGGATGTTGCATTTAGCGCAAAAGATAAGAGTATCACCTCTCCGTTGGGAATATGGTTACATGAAATTGTGGGTGTTCAAAACCATTTTACAAAGGTCCCGATTTTCAATTAATAAATGCATAATGTTTTAGGCACCTCTTGAAAGTTGAACATTTACTTTTATGATTTTAGGGCTGTTAGAAACAGAGATATAGTTTATGATCGACAGTAGTGATCGCATTGTATTAAGTTCTTTGAAGCAAGGATTTTGCAATCAATTTGGCTGATAGCTATTTCAGTTTTTGTTGTTAAAAAATCCTCAGTTTACCATTCAAGCAGCCCACCTCAAGGATAATTTTCGAGTAACTGATACATTTTAACTGATCTTATTTACCATGTTTTCCGTGAATTTAGTTTTCGTGAGCCGTCATGATCTAGGTAGCGTCTGCTCTCAGTGCGGATCTCTAATTGGAGTGTTTGATGTACACATAAGTACGGCGCAAATGCCGACTTATGAACAGCAACGCTGGATCTTATCTCTGCAGCAGTCTTTCATTTTGAATTGAGGTATTCACTCCACCCTTTGACTTATTTGCAACTGGGCTACACTCTGCTTCATTAATATGCATTATGTCGAACGACCGGATTTTATTTTTACGGAAAATAGGGTATATGTTAAATGATTAGCGGGACATGAGCCGAGAATTGTTGACACTGTGCTCCATCAATAAGCATTACGTAAAAATGGATTTTGCGAACGATCGAAGTTTCATTTTAATGAGGAAATAGGATATATGTTAAATGGTTAATGAGACATGATTCGATTATTGTTGCCAGGCATCTCAATAAGGCATGCAAACGTGGAAAATATTAGAATTCAGGAAGATGAACTTCGCACCCAAGTGCCACGAAGGACAACCAGAATGTGCGGTTGAGCCTGAAAAGCGAGACAAAGAGACCTAGCAGGAAAACTTTACACTCTCCTGGTATTCAACAATCTTTTTCCCGTCAGCTTGACTGTTATCCCCTTTAGTTCTTATTGTTGGCAATAAAGCAATATGAGATCCATTCCAGTCAAACCCCAATATACAGCTTTCCCTGAGACAGTTCTAACCCAGTTGCCTCTAATACGGAAATGGCGGTAAGAGAGATTGTACGGGTGAGGCCATCGTACACGCCAAAAATTGGACCACGGAAATGTAAGAAAAAATGCCGCAGATTGGACCACGGCGAGACTTTCAATGAGGTGAAAACTAACCGCTGCGCACGAGTGAGCGCAGGAGATCCAGTCGACCAATGGGAAGCGCGGGCGCAACGCCAAGGCGAAAATAAAGTTGTGCAGGAAAACCACCCACAAAGCAGACATGTATGCACATAGCCTAGCCAGTCGCTGGATTAGAAAGTTATTTAAACACATTCGGTTCACATCGTACGCACTCGGCGGATTAGAAGCTAGGGTAAACGCATTCGGTTTCGTAGTCTAGCCACTGGCTGGATCAGGAAATAAAGTGGACACAATGGGTTCGTAGCCTAGTCCCTCGCTGGATTCGAAAGAAAAATGAACACATTCCGTTTCGCAGCCTAGCCACTCGTTGGATTAAAAAGAGAAGTGAACTCAGTCGGTTCGTAGCCTATTACTCCGTTTGCCTGCTGAATTTTCACGCAGATGCAGACCTCTTGACTGCCTTGACTAGTGGAAGGCCGCCGGCAGTTTCTATATATGTCTTATTATTTGCCTCCTTTTCTCGATGACTCCCGTTACAATCATTTTTTCCGCCTGTCCACTGCTGTTTATATAGTTCGTCACCCCACCTTGCATATATCCCACGTGGAGTTTGCCCGCCTTTTGGTAGCTAATTTTTTTCTGATTTTCCAATTTTATACAACGATGCCACTGTTGCTTACACTGTCCATGCTCTTCTTCGCCTACCCGACGATGTCAGTCGGTTTGGAGTTTTGGACCGGTTTTCTGCATTTCCGTTTAAATCCTTTTTGCAAAACGAATAAAAGGGCAGACTAACGACGCCGCACAGGTGTTCATGTTGGACGACGATGAAGGAGTCGCACGGTCTTTGCAGTTTCCCCGTGCTCTCGAAATCCCGTCTCCTCCTGAAAATGAATCTTTTCTCCTTATTTCTTTGAACTTTTTAATCTGTAAACGCTGTATTGTTGTCGGTTTCGCAAAACTTCTTCCACAGCCTTCCTTTCTTGTTGATCTCCTTTCTGAGGTCTCGCGTTAGTCATTGAGGTCGGCTGAATGTCCAAGGCTTTGATAAGGGCAGTGACTCTTCATTAGATGCAGCAACCGGTCCCTGCATAAATTCTAAGCCTCGTTAACATCCTCGGAGACGTAAAAAACCCAGTGTGTTTGCGATGCTTCAGCTCTCATTTAGCGATAGTCCCGTTTTCATATATTTGGCCTCGTATCGTCTTTGGTATACGGCTCAGGATACAGCTCGAAGTCCTACAAAAGTACTGCGTTATCACCTCGACCGAGTGGAGGTAGGTAGTACACCTCGTCTATAATGTCAGGATCTTTGGTGAAGACGAGGTCCAAACAACTAGCCCATTGCCCTCCAGGTGCTCTCGTTGGAAACAGGATATGTTGCTTGAGAAGAGTTTCTAGGGTAGTTTTTAGTAGACGATAATCGAAGGCATACTTCGAGCACTTCGCATGCATATTATCAGTCGCTAATTCTTTTCATGAAGTTGGAGCTGGTCCAAATAGAAGCACTAAAGAACAGCTGTCGCTGTTAGCTAACGAAATTGTCCCTGGTGAGACCGGCCGTTGTGGTCAGAGACCACAAACGCCATCGTTGCGGTACATTCCATCGATGGATTCAGTACCCGAAATTTGTGGGTTTTTCTGAATGCAAAAAACGAGTAATAAGTCTCTTAAACAAAGGATAATTTTGCAGAGTTTTTACATTCCTGGGTAGTTTATTTCAAATAGCCGTTGTATTAACAAAAACCGACGATATTTAACGGTACGTGCCAGAGGAAAAAATAAAAATACTTCACGGATGGAAAAGATGTCCTAAAGTAGTGAGTGGGTTAAAGGTGCGATTATAAAAAAACATAAAAAATAAACGTAGTCTCTTTTGTAATCCAGGAAACAACAATAGATCAAGGCGTGTAAGCCGGTAACATTCCTAATTCGACAAATTCCAGTGTTCGGGAGTTAAAACCTTCTTGGTAAAAAAAATCCTAGACGGATTCTAGTTTCTTCCACTCCGCAGCATGCATGAGGCTAAATAAAATAGAACAGTATTCCAGGTCAGGTCGAGCGTCCATGTTATAAAGGGACATTCTGATATCGCTGGTTTTAAAGTTTCGGAGGAAAAACCCGGTCGTTCTACGTGCTTTGGAGATTGGCAGGGCGCAGAGCTCCGAAAGCTTAAGAATATTGGAATATCATACACCCAGATCGTTAATAACCCCAGGCTCCTTTATGGCGTGACCATCAGTGCTTAGTTGAGGTTGGCGGTCGTCGCCCACCACCATGACTGAGCATTTATGCCGAGAAAGAGAAAGGCACCATGTGCGGCACCACTGGGCAGCGTTTCAGACGTTCGGCTAGTGCACAGTCCAGCTGAAAGGCCTTAAGGTCGCTCTTTACGAACTCGAGCACGATGTCACGATCTGCCGGCTTATGCCTATATGCAACTTTCACATCGTGGGCATACATGAAGGGCTTACCATTCTGAAATAAATATGAATCGGAAACTTCAGGCGAATAAAGCCTTGTTCCAGCGATCGCCTCTTCTTCTTGTGGGAAAGTACTTTTTATTCAACCGTGTTGTGCAACCGTGGAATAACCTGGCCGATACGAATGTTATGTCTCAATCTGTGGAGACATTTAAATGTCGGCTTGACAGACATATGCTGCAGCAAAAAGCGGACCATGTGACTTCGTAAACATAAAGCCTGTGGCCTATGTGAATGAATATCTACATTCAATTTATGCTGTAATTTCTTCACTTCTATACTTATTTTGTCGATTTTTCATGTACAAATAGGAAGTTCGAAGACGTAAACCTATTTCACTCAAATACACTGACTAACTGCTAAGTAAACTCTCTTTAGTCTTGCTCAAAAATGGTTTCTTTCCTGACTATTGGAAAACTTCCATTATTGGCAGAAAAGGGTCCCTTTTCTGCCACTGTCTCTGATGATAGGTTTAAGTGGGAATCCGAAACGTCCGGCGAATAGAGCCCTTGTCCCAGTGATCTCCTCTTCGTCTTATCAACCTCTATTATTCCACTATTTAAGTCTGGCTCTCGTTCTGATGTTCAAAAATATCGAGGTGTCCATAAAACACCCTCTCTTAGAAAAAATTATCGTCACGAAAATTACCGACTTTTATGTATATGTGTATATGGATAAGGTAATACCGACAAAGACAAGGGAGACCGAAATGACCATTTCTGGCTTCTTAGCCGTCATCAGCCAGCCATACCCAACCCCAAGTGTTGATCATTTGAGGTTCCAATCCGGGATCTTTGATCATGGACTCTGACACTCTACCATTGAGCCACGGGTCCGT